AAGGAAGGAATTTTCAGTGCCAGAAAAAACAAGGCAACTTGTGGATTTAGTTTTATTTCCTGCTCTCTGTGTTCTCTGTCCTTAAATTTTATTGACGACTGAAATTTTTCACTCGAATCAGTCAGATTCTGTGCTGTTTCTTTTGTGTGCAGCAGCGTTGGTCAGTGCGGCACACGTTGTACCATATCTTACAGTAAAGCCGAGAGACTTGTTCAAACAAAGATGATGCGAGTTGATCTGTTTCTGAAGAGACGTGAAACCATGGAGACCACGGAAACTGCTCAGCTCTGCCGCATCCTTGTTCAGCGGCCGCCGCGGGAGCCTGGCAGCGCCTGCTGCCTGGGTAGGGGAAGGAGCCGAGGTCCCTGTGCAGCCCCGCTGGCCTCGGGGGCTGCCTGCATCGGGGGAGAAGAGAACTGCTGGCTTCTGGGGCACCTGGGAGTGCGCCTGGGAGGCAAAATGTGTGTTATGCTGGAAGATGGTACTGGAAACTGAAAATGCTAGAGGATGATTTGCATACCTGGCTCTTTGTCATCCCTCCTGCGCCCACTGTGGCCCAACGGACCTATCTGTGAGACAGTGGGGAGTGGAAGTATTAATATTCCCAGCGCCCCACGTGAGAATGGTGCTTACCCAATCTTCTGGCCTTAGCCCAGAGGGGAATCGTTGTTACTACGTGCAAAGGTTTCATACTCCGAAAGGACAGCTTTCCTTACTGGATCTGAGAACGCTACCGTAGGGACCGACTGTTTCACCACCCATCCTGCCTATCAATCAGTGCTGGGCAGCAGCTGTCATTAAGAACTTTAGCAGAAGGCATGGTTTGATTGACTAATCATTTGTAGTTGTTTTAATGGGTGTCTGCACTTCCCTCTGAAGGGAATGAAACGGCAGCGAACCCCTCCAAGCCACGTCTCCAAAGCATCTGTAAGTATAATCTCATTGACTCTTTAACAGGCGAGAGGTCAATGGAAGTGCGGTGCTCTGGATGAGCAGCGCATCGTTACACCTTTTGGGGGGAGGCAGGGCTCAGGCAGTTCCTGTAAGCCATCATTACATGCGTGAGCGTTTTATAGTAACCCCTTATCGTGTGTCGTTAGTCAGGATGTACCAGGACCTCCCACACGGAAGGTGCCGGTTTCCATTACTTACTGTTTGCAAACCCCTTGTCGTAGGAGAGAAGAACGACACTGAACAAACACAGCCCTTAGTTCAGAGCTGCAGCGAGCAGACTGGGATCCCAGACTGCTAAGCGGGCACTTGTATGCTCTTATCCTCTTGGGCAGAGAAGCGTAGTCCGCTGTAGCCGTGGCATCACACGCAGCAGGTATGACGGGCCAGAGCGGGAGAGAGCTTAGGCAGCAAACTGCTAGTGCAGGGATGTTAAAATGTCTTCTTTCCATATTCTCCCCCGGATCCTGGGTAAAATGAAAATTCCATCATCCCCAGTGGATTTAACCTGTCCCCCCCCACACTTATTCCTTGACATGGATTTTTTTCCTTGGATGGTCACACCAAATGCGGTACTAATTCTTTCATGCTGCTTGTGTGTTGTGCTTCTTTCCGTCCATCGGGGCGTGGGTGGACAAGCATTCGCACTCTGAGTTCTTTACAAAGGAGAAGGGACGTCTTGCTCGGGGTCAGGTAGTTGCGCAGCGTTGCATGTCTTCATGTTGTTGGACAAAAGCAGTTTGTCCCTGTGCCTGTAGGTGAGTTTTGCCGTCTGTGTTTAATATGAAGAAACCGAGACTTGGAGACGCTTGCCATGATCGCATGAGGACAGTCTGACCCTGTTCCCACTGATGGCAGTGGAAGCAGGAGCTGACCTTGACTCAGTCACGAAGTGGGAGTTTCTTCCCTTTCATCACCCTACCGTGAACCCCAAGCCAAACTGTTTCCTTTTCAGAAGCAACACTCAGATACGTTAGCTACGAAAACCGTTTATCTTCCTTCATCCTTGCTAAGCGTTCCTTTGTTTGAACAAAAGGGTGTTCTCATCGCAAGGCGTTCAGGAAGACAGCAGTGCCTGGGCTGCTGCGTGAAGCCAGTCGGTGATGTAGCGTAGTGGAAAAATGGGGAATTTGGTTGCGTGTGAAGTATACCACAAGATTCGTAACTAAATGATTGGGGGGAACAAAAAACAACCCACATACATGACTGGAGCTGCTTGTTTGAATAAAGCCCTAAATGTTTAAACTGTATTCTTTAATATTTTGTAGCGGTATGTTTAGTTGCTGTAACGTAAGCAGTTTTCTCTAGGAAAAAAAGTGTCTGTTGGAACAGACCAGGTGGTTACTTGTACCTGTGACTCTGCAGTGCGGGAATACGGCATTAATTAGATCAAGTATGGTGCAGCGTGCTCTTTCTTACATTAAATGGGATTATTTTTTTTTCTCTTTCAGACTTAACCAACATAATGACTGCTGAATATTAAGGGAAAACACAAGAAGGTTACATGTTTGGTTGTCTAATATTCTTGGATTTGATATGAGTCACCACATCTGTTCATTAGTATCATCAACAGCATCCCAGTTTGTATGCACATTATTCACATTCCTATCTGTTGTGTTTGCAGAAATGACATTTTACCCTTTTTTCTAAGGGTTACTTTTTGATTTTCATATTATTTGGTTGCATGAAGTTGCCCTTTACCAGTGGCTGAGGTTTATGAAGATACCGCGTACTTGAACATGTTTCAGATTCCTTTTCTAGATAGAAAAGGTGTAACTCCAAATTACATCGTTCTAAATCAGCAGTTTTTTAAAAAGAACTAAATCCTAGAAATGAGTCCCCTCCATACAATAAATACTACAATATCTTCCACGTACAAACATAATTTCAAATTTCCCTATATCCATGCTTTCTTGATTTTTGATCAGTTGACAACATGAAAGAAAAATTCTTCTTCAGTTGAGATCACCGCCAAGTTCAATAATGTAATAAAATACCTTTCCTTATTAGAAGTACCTAGCTAGTTATACTCTTAATACTTCTCAAAATCATGATGTAATGTACACTATCTGACTTAGTTCCTATATGTGGAGTTAGTGAAAGTCTTTTTGTGTTTCTTTAGATTAATACAAGGATTTTTTCCAATGCCAACACAATTTGAAATCATTCGTTTGGATGCTTTCCATTTTTAAGCTTACTGTGATATAGAACCCTATGGGAAACCAAAAGAAAACACCAATTTTAAATAATGAAAGGCTTAAAAAAGGATGCTGTCATTCTGGCTTTTTTTTCCTTTTGGAAATAGAACTAGACTAGTAAGTAAGCATTCCAAATCCATTATTCTGTGTACATTATTGTTGCTATTGTGATAATAGAGATTTTTATTTATTTTTATGCCAGCTTTTATTGTGAAAACATATTTAGTCTGGTTTTATCAATCCTTGTTATGCTTGTCCTTGGAACATCTTTTGCGTCTTCAAGGTTTGTAGTTGACGAGTTTACTGTAAAAAACTAAAAAAAACCACAACAAAAAAACAAAAAACAAAACAAAACAAAAAGAAAACAAAAAAATGTATTGTTTTTACAGAATAAATTTATTGGAATGTGTATTGGGAGTAAGGTTTGAGGTTGTAAGCAACTAAGTTAGCGTCATATTTGGCTTCATACGTGTAATAATGTGAGGTATTAATGTAAGTCAAGTATTAAAGCAAAACATTCTGTTAACATGAGTTGACCATAATAGATACAAGTGCAGGTGAGATCTTTATTTTTTCTGTACTTTGCCTTTTCTGGATAACAGGAGGTTATTAAATTCACCTTGAATGTATTCAAAGTTTCTTTAAAAACAGTAGAAGTAACATCGGAGGCTCAGATACCTGTTTGTGAGCCCGCACGTCCTACTGCAGCCCAGCAGCTCTGGGCTGCTTTTCTCGGGAGGACGTGCTGGGACGGAGCTGTCCCGAATTCTAGCGTACGTGGAAGGAGCCCGCACCAGGGAGGCCGGGTGCTGGAGGAAGTCATTGCTAAGTTCCTTTTCGCCAAGAAGCATTGACTGAGATGTGTTGTGGCTATTTTGGGCCTGGAGGTTTAAAACCGTGGGTTCTCTCTTCCGAGCGCTGCTGTGAACTGCACCTCAGCGTTCAACGGGGGAGTGTTACAGCGTGAATTTCTTGCCGCTCTGAAAGGCCCCTTGTGCAGGGTGCAACGCGCATGCGCATGAGCTGATGCTGTCTCGTTAGTGATTAGGTTTAAAAAGAAAATTAAAATGCTCTAAATCAAAACAGCCGAAAGTCAGCATCCCAAAATAAAGTGTTTCCGGTTAAAATGTATCAGCTAAATTCATCTGTGAGAAGGGCGCTAACTGTGCCGCTTTTAGTACAAATACACGTAGAAGTCATAGCAATAGCTGTAATTGCAAACAGAAACATAAACCACACAAACCAAGGTCGCTGTGTTTGCTGCTGCTTCTTTATGACCCGACAGCATTAGCAAAAGTAGCTGCAGAGAAGAACACGGCCAAAAACCCCCCTCCTCTCCGAAAACGCACGCTACGGTGTCAGGCCTGACTGCTGAAGGCAGCGAGCCCTCCGCGCCCAGCTCAGAAGTGCTAGTAAGCACATGCTTAACTTCAAGCAGATGAGCAGTCCTTGCAGAGGTGAATCCTTAAAAGAATTAACAAAACTACATGATTTGCTTATCATATATGGAGTCTTACCGTAAGAGTTGATTGCTTCTTAAAAGATTTCTTGGGATTTTTAACAAGGCTGACCCACAAACCATACTTTTTGACAAATAAAACATGTGCATGTGACAGAGTTATGTATGGTAATTTTTCACACTTCAAAATATTGACCTTCACGTTCCACAGTAGCTCTGTGTAGGGACTGCTAGCACCGACGTTCTTCAGTGTGTGGAGGCTAAACGCTGACATCATTATTATTATTTAACTTCATGCAGTATTTCTCAAACTGTCAAAGCGGCTTACTTAAAAATAGCTATGTGAACTAGCAACTCCGCTGCAGCGCAAAGTCAAAATGTTGAGAAGTGGTACTGAAGGCAGTCGTCTTTATTTTCCCTTTTTGAGGAGGATAAACAAAACAGACTGTGCAACTTCACACAATTGTGCAATTTTACACATCTTACACGCTTCGCTTGGGTTCCGTTTGAGCAGTTCCGATTGCATCCCAACCCAATTATATACCCAGCCAAAGAGAGGAGCTGCAAACAGTTGTGCTATTCCGTTTTTTCTTCTTGTTTTGTTTTCATAAAAAACTCTGGCTTGTTGACACACCTGTAAGCCAACAGCTGGGGAAGAATCCCATAGATTATGTTCAATATCAGAAAGAACTGTTTTGCTTCTTCAGGGACTCTGTAGATGTAAGGAGTTCGAGCGTGAAGAGAAGCACCAATGTGGGAAAATTGAGCCTGTGGTGTGTATATAACGTATATATTAAAGAAAGGTAAAGTTGATGTATATTTTGGAAAGACAGCACAATCCGCATGCAAGTATGCATCTCCAGTGACATTTTCCAAGCCAGCCCTTTTATTCCAGAATTATCCGCCATCCTTTTGCACAGCGGCATAAAAACACAGTCTAAACTGAGGTCATTAATATCTCGGTATAAGAGGCAGAAGAGGAACTGTCAGTACCATGGTAGGAGGTTTATTTTACGCGCACGGTGGCGCTGATCTTTACATCAGGTATAGGATTTCACCCTCGGCTTACAGGTGATTATTCATGCAACAGGGCCCCTGACCCTGCCCCGGGCGCATGGCCGCGGAAGTGTGCGCCGCCGCAGAGAGCCGCAGTGCTAAGCCTCAGCCCAGCAGCGGGGGCAGGACCCGCAGCCACCTACCTAGGAACGTGGTGGTTGGCATCGGGGGGAAGCAGACACTCACTCCGAATAAAGTTAGAAAAGAAAATCTTGGAAGCTGTGTTAGTTCTGGTTTGGGGGTTGGTTTTTTTTTTAAATCTTAAACCCAGTCTTCCAGATTCTGATCCCAGAACTCCTGATGAGTTCAGAAAACGTCTGCAATATTTGGCTTTTGGGCTGGGGGCGGTTCTGAAGTATAGGTTACGTTTACAGTGAAGGTTATACGCAAAGACAAGCTTGCTGGGCCGCAGCGTATTTTTAGCGTAAACAGACATTTAAAGATAGAAGCGTCAGGATAGTCGCTGTCTTTTGTCTCCATCTGTTACCTGCTATTTCAAGCCACAGCTCGTTCACGTTAACTATTGTGTGTCCAATTTTTTTTTACTATTATTTAGTTAGTTAGCAGTGGAGGAGATCTGAGAAGATAAATATCAGTTTGATCTTAAGCAGAGCAGGAGAAAGGGACACTGGGATTTTAGTAACGCGGAGGAGTACACTATGGCCAAATCACGTCCTCTGTTCTGGCTTCAGCAGGAGTTATTTTGGACTCGCAAAGAACGCAGTTCTGCTCACGGTTAGCGAAGTAGAATGTGAAATACAGTGCAGGTGTTTTAATACGCAGCCCTCTAGCAAAAGGTTAGGTTGAGACCATACATCAAAACAGAAAAGGAAATCCGTTTTCAGGTGATTGTAACCACCTCCACTTAACAGGGAGAGCTGATCTAGCAAACCTGAGTCAGGAAGCGGAGTAATCAAAGAAATCAAATACAAACACACTTCAGCAGAGTGCCACTTAGCATGTTTCTGTAAATAGCTGTTACACAGTAAACAGATGTTCAGGGGCTCGCTATCAGCAGCCTTTTTATATCAGCCTCATAATTCAGCCCATCTCTTGCAGCCTGTTTGTTCTCACCTGTCTCAGGCAGGAACTGCCTTTGGCACCTGGGTGGTCTTGCTCAGATCCCTGCTACCTTCCTTGCCTTGGGAGCCACCTCAGCCCAGGCAGCCGGAGCGGTAGCGCTCAGCAGCAAAGACCTCGTGTTACACGAGGTGACAGTTTCCCAAGCAGAGACCCAGCCACCGTCAGGCTTCAGGTAGGAGGTTTGGGGCTGTCTGATGTTCACCTAGGCACTAACAGCCTCCTGGTAGTGTTTTAGAGCCTCTTCTGGGGTGAACAAGATGCTGAGCTATGTACTCCTCTGTGGAGGATTGCAAGGCCCGCCTGTCTCCAAGAGTGGCCAACTGTGCATCATAGTAAGTTGACAGTAAATTCATAGTAAGCCTTGTCAGAAAGAGCTGTGAGGGACTGCTGCTGCGAGACCCAGAGCTCCCGCAGCCTCCTAGATGCCTTTGAAGATCTAAGCCTTATTGTGTGGTCTTGTCTCTTAGAAGAGTTGTGGCACGTTAGTGAGCTTTGAGCATTGTAAAAAGAAAAAGCAGAAACACTTTGTTCTATTTGTAGCCCATGAAGACTTTTACTAGCTAATGATGCACCGTATAATGAAGTTGTTATTTATTAGACTTGTTTTTCAATATAACACATTGCTTTTTCCTTTCATTACCAGGGAGGATATTTAGGTTTGTTAAAGTCACTCTTTTTAAAATTTGATTTGCCTCTGTGGAAATTGTGTTACGTCTTTAATCTCATGTGTTTCCTTTCCATGACTGTACTCTGCTTCTGCCTTTTTTTTTTTTTTCCCTCCCCTCCTCTTGCCCCACCTTGGGGCAGGGTGTGTGTTGTAAAAGCAGCTCTCTCACTCACCGGTAGCCCCGTCCTGCTCTTCTTTCAAGTACCAGGCAGACTTGCACCAAATCCGTAATTTTAAGCAGCAAGCCGAGAGCTGTTAGTTACTGCACATGGCTCTGCCTGTTGGGCGACAGGCTGGCATTGCGGTAAGTGAGAGCAGCCTGGAGTCTGTGGTGTTACCTCGCCGGTCCTTCGGCAATAAGGACCTCCTTATCGGGTCCTCTCAGCAAATAAGCCATTCCTTGGCACTTTCTGTTACTGAACCCTTTCTAAGTGGATCATTTTGATGATCGAACCCCTAAAACTGGGCTGAGAAATCAACCAAACGAGATGCTGCAGGTAAACTTCTAAGGTGGCCTTATCTGTCTAAGATACAGCCTTTGTTAACCTCGAAGCCTCGGCCAGCCTGCCGATCAGGCTGGCCCACAGCAATTGAAAGCTGCCTGGTGCTGGACGTGGCACTGCTCAACTTGACAACTGCGATTTGCATATGCCTGCTACTCATTAAGCTGCTTGTCTCTATGAAATAATTTGGGTTTGGATTTTTTTTTTACAATATTTTTTGCCTGCAGCCTAATCATAGGCAGTACTTGGAGTGTTTCTTACCCTGCAGTCAAGAAAGCCCTCCAGCTAGGGACAGAGAAGGGCCTGGAAAAAGGTTAGGAGTCCTTCTTCACTCCATGCCTTCTCTCTAAAACCAACTAAAATCAAGCAAAGACTGTAACTGATTTTGGAGGGGTTTGGACCAGGTCTTATGAGCCTAAGGAAAGCCATCAAATAGAGTGGGGAGAGAGTAACCTAGAAAAATATATTCCTTGGGTTTAGGTTCTCTTGCAGACAAGAGGCACTGCAGAAACTAGCCACTAGAAATTGCAGGGTTAAGGAAAACACTTAGATGGAGAAGGAGTAAAGAAAAACTTTCTACATCTGAGAGAGTAGGGAGGGGAAGTGGGCTACGGAGAGTTGGTGAGACAATGGTTTTGGGTAGCAGGGCCCTGGCTCTTCACCCCTTCTCATCTGGCTCACTTGCATAGGGAAATACCAAGTTAATCAAGTTCAGAGGCTATTCCAACCCTTTTGTATGATCAAAGCTCCTGGTACTTTAGTCAAGTGACATTTAAAGAGCTCTTCCTGAAGCTTCAGAAGGCCCAATAAGGGTCACAACCTGGTTTTGGAGTCTGAATGTTAGTAACAGAATAACTCGAGCTGAGAGCTATACGTAATTCTGAAAAACAGTAAATATTTCTCTGTATGTGTGAAAGGCTAGGCACTTTTAGAGGTTCTTAGTTTAGATGCATCACATGGTATTTTGATACTTGTTTTTGTAAAAAGTACATACTTCATAATGATAGAAACAAAATAATTAAAGTCTCCACAGTCCCCATCTGTAGGAGCAGTGTTCATTCCCGGGGGCAATGCCCACTGTTTCCATCATTACAGATTTACCTTCTTTGGACCTTTGTGCATAATAGAAAGAAAAATGTGTTTCATTACCTATGTATGTTTTAATTACCAATTGCAATGTTTTAGCTTGAGGAAACGTTAGACAAACCTGGAAACGTGTTGTGCCTCAAAATAACCAAACCCAAAAATAATATAGAAGGGAGTCCTCAATTCATTGTCACACATGTTTTTCATCCCAGGTTGCTCACAGTTCACCAAGTCAGCTCAATTAAATCATGTTCAGTTGTGGGATGACTGAAGTTCATTCTGCAGTGCATTAA